CAGGGAGCCCGATGCGGGACTCGATCCCGGGACTCCAGGATCATGACCTGAGCCGAAGGCAATCGCTTAACCAACTGAGCCACCCAGGCGCCCTGAACAGGCTACTTTAAACAGGGCATTCTCTGAAACGACTTGCCGAGGCATTGTGGGCCCACTATTTAGAAGAAACTAACAGCCATGCTTGTGCTCTCTTGTCTTTTCTTCCCCCAAAGTGAGGTATCTGCTTCATTTTGAATCAGGCAGAGAACCAGAGACACAAGATAGGATTTCATCTTTTCCTCTACTCTTCCTGATTTCTTTTTATGCCTAGAAAAGCCATGTTACAAAGAAACAGAGGACACGCTTAGAGCTTGTCTCAAAGAAGAGAAGGCAGCATATTCTGCGGTCAGTTTCCGAGCAAAGCGCGTCCCACACTCTTCCCTTGTTCTCCTAACCAGTGTGCTAAAGGGCTCTCTCCTATTTCCCACTGCATGGGTAAATGCCTAACATATGCCTATGTGGTAGAGAGTCTCCGGGTTACGGTTAGGGAATATATAATCGTGCCTTTTATTTGTAAAGTACTTTCACATTGTCTCATTTGATTCTGTAACAATTGTGTGACGTGCAGGCAGGGCAGGGTAAAATTGTATTTATCCATTATCTGTATCCCGTGTATTGTCTATGTGATGAAGCGTCTGTCAATGACCTATATAATGTCCATATTATAATGTCATAATGTTATGATATTATCTTGATAATATTATTATATTACTTATATCCTATATGGATTATCATGATATACATAAGGAAACAGGTTTCAGAGATGTTACGATTTTCCCATAAGGTTTATTATTAGCAAAAAGTGGAGCCTGATCTAGAACCCTTGTTCCTGGAATTCTAGTTAATGCTGTGTCTTCTCTGGTGTGTGGAATGAGGAGCACAAATGTGAACAGCATCTTTGTACCTTTTGGTGAAGGAAGTCCTGTGTCTGAGGGTAGGTGTGACTCTGTGTGTGTGTGCGTGCACGCGCATGCACACATGTCCACGTGCATCATGCCCATTATAGGGAGAGCTGGATAAGATAAAGCCTGTGAACTAGCTTCCAGATCGCAATGGCCCAAGGAAGCAGGGGTCCTGGAAAGAAGTAGTAGATGGGGCAGCCACCACAGATTCCTAGGTTCAGGAGAGGGAAAGGCGGGGAGCTGGGGTCTCCTCGGGCAACAGACCAACCCTAGGAAAGGGACGGGAAACAACCAGGAGCTGGTTTCCTCTCCTGTCACTTTACTTTCAACTCTACTGTTGCTCTTCCCTCTAGGGTTCTCTTGCTTTTCCTCCTCACTTCTCTCTCTGAACAAGCCCCTCTCCAGTGTCCCCTAGCTCTTGCCTGCCACAATTCCGGAGCCAGGTGGCTTGGAGTTAGGGCATCCTGGCTCCCGCAGCCTGGGAGATGGGGGAGGGGGGAGCGCACAGCACTGGTTCCAGAAGGTCACGTATTTAGAGTCCCAAACACCTGCCTTGAAATTGAAGTGAAATCAGAATGTAACCTGGAAGTTGGATACAGGCTGTATGTGATCCAGTGATCCTTGATTCCTTTATTTCTATTTCTTGGAAATAGCCAGAGATAATATATAGTAGCTGTTTCTTACCCTCAAGGACTGTCAAGGTAAATCATATTGGCCTCTTATGATAATAATTTAACCATTTTTGGTGCAGGAAAAAGGACATTAATGGTATGCTCCATGTTTTGTTCTCTCTCCTTGACTTTCAGTCCTTTTTTTAAATGGCAAGGGGAAGTATTTTTAGGAATAGTCATCTCCATTCATCTGATAAACTAAAATCTGTTTGCTAATAGAAAGAATGAATCAGTTCAGTTTATAGTGTCTGAAGGTGGTTTCGTGTAGCCTGTGTTTTAGTACCTAATCTGTGTTGTCTCTACCAGACAGCTGTCATAAATCACAGCTTGCCTTCTCGATATACTTGGTTCACAGTGTGAGGGAGGGAAAAAGAAACCACCCAACAAGGTAAGGTGGAGAACATTTTGCAAAGATCAATTACACGAGCATAATCAGAAATATCATTGTGTTTCTCATAAACACAATATAAATCAATAGCGAGGAGGCAGCACTTAGGTTCTGCCACTGATATTCTTCCATGTGAATATATTTTCTATACTCTAAAAATATTGAGAATGCAAAGAAAGAATCCGCTTTTCAATGGCCAGCCCATCTCTTTATGACTTGGAAAACTTTCAATATTTAAGCTCTTATTTATCCTCATCCCCACATTAGGAAGCCATCAATCTTTACTGAGTGGCTAAAGGAAAAGTATAAGATGATCAAGATAATATTAGTAAAACAACAATGGACTGACATCCAGGAGAGTTGGGTCTGTGCTCCATGCAACTGCCTGATTTCTCAGGGAAGAACTGATTTTTAACCCCAGGCACACTGAGGAAAAGCTTTTCTCCAACAGTTGGCTTTTATTACGAATGACCTAACGGCCTGACAGCTGCCTATACCTCGTGCTGGCAGGGAAGGCGCCGCCCTGCATTTGGTTCTGGGCAGATGAGGATGAGGAGGGGATGAGCGCTAGGCCCCCCCTCGGGGACACGGACGGCTGGACGGCCATCACCTACTCTCTGACACTGGCTTACCCGAAGCTTCCGACCAAAGACGTTGACTTTTCCTTGGGCTTGCTCTTTCCGGAACCTCCACTCGACCAAATTTTGACCGTTTTCACCAGGAAGACTCATGTTTCTTTTGGCAACTGTCGGATTAGCCGTGCCGGCCAGAACGTGGGGCTCTGTCTGGTAGTGTGAGTCAAGGCCACTGGCGTAGATGATTCTAAGGGAGCCATCATAACCGATCTGATAGCTGTTTCTTAACTGATCTGAAAAACAAGGAGCCGAAAACAGGAACTACAGATATGGATTAAACACTCGGTTGGTCCATGCAGTTGGAAGTGATAGACATTTCTAAAATGCTGACCGACTCCATGTATAGGGAAACAAAAAGTACTGAATGCTGTCCTTTTAGAACATATCACGACTTTGATTTCTGTCGTTTCGTGCTGTTAACATAATTGGCTGGATATAAAGGCAGGCTTCAGGGGAATTTAAAATCCTCCTCCACTTGAGATTTCTTTTTCTCATTTGCCTGATGGAATGAATGAAGGGTCATTCTCCACAGATGTTCCGGGAAGGCTCTGCCAAGAGCCATGTACGTGCTCCCTCGGGAGGCTGGTGTGTCGCGGCCGTCCCTGCCAGGGTCTCAGAAGACCACCCCCCTCCCCTACACCCATCCCTCCCCTTGTTTAAAATCTTTTGCAAAGATTTCATATCCGTACATTGTATACCAAAAAGATAAGATGATATTTCTCTGAAACTGGACTTTTACAAAAGCAAGCCATCTTCTATTTTGTAAAAAACCCCCTCTTGCATTATAGGCTATTGCCTCAATTTAAAATTTTTCAATGATATTGGACCATTTGGGGAAGAAAGGAATTCAAGCAATATTAATTTTAGATGACTGCAGAGATTACTTGAGAGAACTGGTAGAAATAATGAATCAAAGAAGCTTAACTCAGATTTGGTAATTATTCTTAGAGCTGTGACCTCAACAATTGCAACTGTCACAGTAAACAGGCTTTTCCAAGATTATGTCAAAAAGGAATATGGCAGGAGGTTCCGCCATGAATATACTGGATATGGACCGAATGGAAAAAAAAAAGAAGCCCAGCTATTACATAAATGGGCACACAGAATTTGGTGTCAAATTTCCAGGGATCACGTCATATGTGGACTGACATGCAGCATCGTGTGCGGACTCAGAATGTGCTCCGTCTCAAATGACTGCAGTTCCATGGCCATGAAAAGGACCCACTCCCCAAAACTGCAGCAGACGACTCACAAAGGGTCTGATGACGCGTGTGAAGAGTTGCAGTGAAGTTGCTTTTGGAAGCGGGAGTATACACTACGTGATCTAAGATACATAGATATCACAAAACAAACAGTACCTATAGACACGGGGCTGTTTCACCAACATCTCTAGAGGTTTATGTTTTCACCCTCCCTTTTCTGGCTCATCTTAGAACACGGGTCACCACATTCTACAGGGGGTGACAGTGGCATTTAAGGTTACCCATCCCAAATTATGCTTTCATGTTTACCTTGAACCATGGTGTAGAAAGAGTCGATCGAGGACAGATTTGAAGTGATGCTGACATCCTCTTCACGGCTGGATGACTCAATGTCCACCGTGATGGCCTTGTCCATGTCCCCGTGCAGGCTTGTGACCACTCCAGTTGGAAATGTAACATTTGTCAGACGACCTTCGCTGTCATAGCTACATAAAAGAGGCATCAACTCGGTGTTAAAGAGCAAACGGCAGGTTCTCCTTACGTATAAATACCAGGGGCGGCAATATCGGCTGCAGAGATTTGGAAGGATATTTGCCTTTGTGCATGAGCCATGCAGAGTGAGGACTTCAAACGTGCTTTGAAGTAATCAAAAGCCTGTTTAATAGAGAAAAACCTCACCGGCGAGAGCACGAGTAAACAGAAGAGGTCTCCACCTCAGCATCTTCTTCTCTGAAGTGTGACCAAAATCCTCTTGCACATCCAATTTGCTGTTTCAAAGGGAACATATTTACTGATACTAAATTCCTTAGTCTTCGCCATATTTTCTACAAAGTAGATTTAACTCGCTGTTATATCAGTTTTTAAAGTTTTACTAACTTACGCCCTCCATGGAATAGGAGTGCCATAGGAATACATGAAACTTTGTAAAACGGTATGTATACATTGTATACAGTATGTAAAAATATTCTTGTAGTAGCTTGTGACATCTTCAACAAATTAATACAATAAAGCCATTTAAAGACTTTCTTATTCCTCAGTGTTGACATACTTTAGAATGGTAAAAATGGGACCTAAATGTTGGCAGGGGTGGTGATACTCTATCTCGTCTGGACTGACGTTGTAGGAATGAGCTCTTGAATGATGATTTATTATGTTTACTGAAATGTGATGTACTATTTCCTGACATTTAATGATTAGTTGCTTTTCCAATTATACACTTACTTTTTTTAGCATGTAAATAGAAGAGGGACATATAATTAAAATGTTAGGATATATTTTAAAAAGCTGTCCTATAATCATAAATATGCATCATTGATATAACATTTTAATAAAGAGTTGATTTTGGGGTGGCTTTTCTATTTGTGGCGGCACCAGAGAAAATTTCAGAAGTGACAGTGTGGTTTGAAGAAAGAAAAAAACAGATCGCAAATTCCAGCACAACGTAAGCCTGGATTTCAGCTTGATACCAAGGCTGTTCGTTAAGAAAAGGCCTAAGCGAGATGAAGACTTGCACCACGTCCTACTTACAATAAGCCCAGATGCAGAACGGTAGAGAAAGGGTCTTCTTAGCGAAAGAAGTTCCCAGGGGAGGGGAGAAAAAAGGTGGGGACGATCCCAATAATAGGTGTAAATATGGGGCAACAGGGACTAAGGGGTAGAAAGAAGAACTTAAATGATACTTCGCAATAAAAGGAGAGGGTTTTAGAGGGTAAAACAAGTAGTTTTGGAAACTGTGGTTAGTACTTAGGGAGAAGATTCTAGGTAATGAAGGTAGAGAAGATTCGGCAAGGGCAATGCCATGGTAGAGACGGGAAGGAAGGAAGGAGGAGAGAGAGGATGTCTGCTCTGGGCCCAGGGAGGAGGTGATCCCATTAATTCTGGGGGGACAGCATCAGTCAGATGGAGGGTCTGACTGACCCGATCTGACAGTTTGCCATGCTACTTAGCCAGCAGCACGCATGGGCACTCAGGAGAGACAAGCAAGCGCGGGAGAAGCAAAGAGAAAGGAAATGCGCCGTTAAGTGTAACCATTGTTTGGACCCATAAAAGGCAGAGCTGAAATAAAAAGAGCAGCCTCCTTCCCCTCCCCACCAACCCAAATGCCCCTAGCAGATGAAGACATCAATGAAAGAAATCCAACATGGTTTATTGCTGTCATTGCTTCTTAAAAGAAATTACTGTTCTCGGAGAAACAAACAAGGCGTAGCTTTGTGTAGGCAGAATTATTGACAAAACCGGCTTCAGGCTCAATCTTCACCTGGACAGAAATCTGGCCTCTCTCTACATTTCTCACGGGCTCTCGTGTTTTGAAGAAATGCTCCCTACACAGAAGGTAGCTCAGTACTGCGTTCTCCCCCACCCCTCTCCCATTTTACAGATGGAAAAATGAAAACACGCCGCGCTCCGGTGACTCGATCAGGCTCTCATGGCGTCCAATGACTGGGCCATAAAGGGGCTCCCCTGCGCTGGACCCCAGGTCCAGGATCCTTCTGTAAATCACAGAGGCTACTGCTTTTTATAGAAGAGCCACCTGCAAGCACTTTGCTGATTCATTCTCGCTGCCGTCACTCACCTGCCCTTTCTGACCCGTTTGCTGGTTTATGTTTTCTAGCTCCTTTCTAATCTAAGCGGGAACGTCACCTTCCTCCTGCAGAAAGCATTTCTGCAACCTTTGCCTCTGCTCTTTTATCGGCTGACCACGCGCTCCACGTCCTGCTGGGCAGGCATTCCGTATCACGGGATGCTGAGCACATCTGGGACAGACCACGGGATGCCGCACATCCAGACTCTAACCTATTAGCCTTTGGTTCTAAGGAAAATACAAATACAAGTAGCCTTTGTAGGTGGTACACTCAGAATGACACGGGGGTAAGCCGGCATCTTAGGGGCCCAGCTTCTTGGTTGGGCCCTGGGCGTCCCGAATTTGTGCCTTCCGAACACGGGCTGGGTCGACATGAAGGTGCATGCAGGCCGAGGTGCTTGCACGAGGCAGGGCAGGCCGGGTGCCAGGGCGGAGGGGCCCTCAGAGGTGTGGCCTCCCCAGTCACCCTCACAGGTCAGGCAGCGAGCACCTCCCAGACTTGCCAATTTTACCAACCAGGGGAAAAAACAAACAAACAAACCAGGGACCAACAGAGCCATTTTTGTCTAAAGAAGCAATACCTGTTACCCCCTTCCTTTCATGAAGAAAAGGCCACTGAAGCAAACCAAAGGTAGAAAGGACCTAACTTCGGGGGTGAGGGACCACTGTTTAAAAGGAATCAGTAAAGCTTGGTGAAAAAATTCTCCACATCGTTTATGTTTTTCATTTCAGCGTGGATCAGTGAAAACTTTTCCCACAGATTAGCACCCACGTCAGGAGAACCGAAAACAAGATGGATGAGAGACCCTGACATTAATTACCAGGGGACTCTGGAGAAGGGCCGGAGAGAAGAGAAGTAGTCAAGGATGACGTTCAGAAGTGGCCGGTGAACCCTTCTTTACCTCGGCAAGAGAAGAGAAAACAAAGCACCAGCAGATGTCCAACTGTCCGCTGGAATGCCCCGACCCTCCGTACCAAAGAGGCCTTCCCATCAAATATATGCCTCAGGACATGTTCTCTGCTTCTGTACAACTCTGTGACTCGAGTTAATGTTGCTCGGCCTTGGTGGGGAACCAGCCCTGCCCAGCTTGTGCATCTGAGACGTAGCTTTCTTTTATTAGCCTTTTGAATTTACAGTGCAATAGGCTCTAGGGATTTTGACTAGAATATCAACTTCACGCTCTCCATTCCACTCCTCTGGTCTCAGCCTCATAGCTTCAAATTCATAACACAGCACATTCTTTTTGCTCCTGATTGCTCCTCTTCACAAAAGACCCGCACTGGGTAAAGAAAGACTCCCTCAGGCTCTTCATGACCTTCTGCTCTTTCACTGATGGGATGCCCTTATTTGATGTTTATCTATTTGTTCGTCTTTAATTTTGATTGCATTTTTGCCTAGACTTGCTGTTCTAGCCTTTGTGGTGTATTTCTAAATCTTTTTAAGTTTCCTAAGCAGCGCGATTATCGACCAATGCCCCAGAGAGTTAGAGCTTCAGCCCTTGTCAGTTGAAATGCTGTATTCGTCCTGACGTGAAATTTCCTTCCTCCCCCCTTGTAGATGGAGGGTCCCACTCGCCATTTTTCCCTTCCCCATCTCTCAGATACGTCCGTTCCCATTCCCACAGCCGCCCTCGATGTAAACACGCGTCTTCTTGCCCCTCCCCACAGTCACAGATAGCTGATTAATCTTCTGGAACACCACAATTCTAGTACTTCCCTGCTTACACATCTTCTGTGGCTCCTCAACTGAGAGAAAAATCGCCTGAGTCAGACTCTTGCCAACACAATGTCAATAGACTATTGATATTGCAAATTTATTCAAGTGGAGACAATGTGCCCTTCTGGAAAACTTGCTTTAAAACTCAACAACAGGATTATCTGTTGTCTTCCGTGTTTTCCCATAAAACGGCCTCTTTCATTATGTTTTCTAAAGTTATCTTCTGCTTTTGAGAAAAATCTGTGTAAATGAGAGTAGGGCTTTGGAGAAGCAAGTAAACCAGAGAAGAGAAGGAATGATCACTCTGGAGAGGTGGGGCTGTTTTGGGGAGCGGTTCGTTCTTTACCCCTTACGTACGCTCAGTGTGGGCTTATGATTCAGCCTGACACTGAGCTGGTCTTTCTCAAAGATGAGCCAAGCTTATGTATTTACTCATATAATGTTGGCGATGCCCCTCTCCCAAACCTTTATTCTCTTCACCTGTAGAAGAGTGAAGCTAAACATGTATGCTTTCTATCAACTGGTTTCTCCAGCCCTTAACCTGCTCCGAGAAGGTTAAGACAGCAGGAGATGTTGGCTTGAGGACATTCTGGAGACCTCTGGCGGGGATAAATGTTCCAGTTAAGTCCGAGTTAAGACTGGCCCTTCCCCGTCTTCCCGGGGCCATCCCAGCACTCTGGGGGCTGCTTAGTTTCAGGCTTGTGACACAGTAAGGATGCCTACGAAGGAGACCTACCTAACCTGCCTTGCTCCCCACTGTCCCCCTGATACAGAGGGAGAATGTTCCCTTCCAACTACTAGAGTTCCTTAGGTTCAAATTTCCTTCCATAGTTTAACAGCCAGCAACCCCCTCCCCCCCCGCCAAAAAAACCCTCCCCTAATCTCGCCATATGTTAGGGCAATACTTTTTCTTCACAATGCTAATGTAGCACATCTTATCTGTCGCTTCAGTGCAGGAGAGCAGAATTACTAACCCTCTCATAGCAAAACGGGTGCCCAAATCCTTCCTCGACCCTCATTCCTGATGAAGGGCGTGCACAACAGTAAAAACCGCAGAGCGGAGCCTGATTTAAACTTCTAACGGTGGACTGACTGGGAACCCTAATAACAAGGCTGTGATTTTTAACACTGTTAACAGCCAAAGAATTTACACTGACCCATTCTAGAAATGAATCCGAGGTTTAGGCATTT